GGAAAAAAAAAAGAGAGAAAATTGGTGAAAACAAAAATCACACGAATCGATTTCTGATCGTACCTGCAAATTTGTTGCAAAGTTTGTTTCTTTGATGTTTTTTTACGCAGAATGGATTCCGATGACCCAACTGACAAAATCGAAGATGACGACCAATTTCTCGACACCCTCAACGATTTCCCGCTTTACGATTGTGTTTCCGATGACGAATCCGATGTTACGACATCAGAAGCGTCCACGACGACGACTCTCCGTCGGAGGAAGTTCTCTCATCGAGGGGTTCACGTCGGTGAGTCTGAGGATGGGATTGTAGAATGTTCAATTACAGAAGATTCGCCGAAGACGAGTTTTAGAGAGGAAAAATGTAGTTTTTACGGTGATTCGAAAGGGAAGGAGGAAAATTTCGAGGTTATTGAGTCCACTTCTGAGCGAGTGAACCCGTTTCGGGTTGCGGGAGAGGAAAACGATGAGGAATCTACCGTAACCACAGCAAAAGGCAATGACCCAGTCGACAAAATCGATGAATCAGCAGACTCGAGTTCGAGGGCTGAACTCAGTGAGTCGTCATTTTCTTCATCGAATTGGCTTGTGTTTATAGCTGGATTAGTGATAAAGGCAATTGGGTTTCAAATAAGTTTGCTAATTAGTTTAATTACCTTACCTATCTCAGTATCATGTTTCTGCTGCCTGTTCATTTTCAATCCATTTCAAGCAGTGAGACGTGTCAGAAATTATGTAATGGCCAAATTGAGTGATTCATTTAATGCATTTTATGGTTATGTTAGTCCTTTGATTTCTAGGCGGTTAAAAGAGCATCAAGTGGTGTGGAAGCTTGTGCTTCGATTTGGGTGGGGGTTGTTCTGGGCTGCATATGTTTGCTGTGTGTTGTGTGGATTATTGATTTCTTCACTAGTGATCAGTGGGTTTTTGATGAGGTCTTTGGTGGAGGAGCCAATTGAGATAAAGGAGATGTTGAATTTTGATTATACTAAGAATAGTCCAGTTGCATTTGTGCCCATTTCATCTTGTGCTGGTGTTCATTGTGATTCAAATTGTATGGAGAAGATTGAAGTTTGGAATAATGTTGGATTGCGGGTTATTCCACCTGATCACAAGTTGCAGGTTACCGTTTCTTTGACCTTGCCAGAGTCAGAGTACAATAGAAATCTTGGGATTTTCCAGGTATTTGTTTAATTTTGAATCTAGAATTCTTTTCATGTTTGTTTCCTACGTCTATTTATGAGTTAATTTGGGGTTTACAATTGTATCTGCTGTTAGTTCTTTAACTTCTCATATAGTTTGTACATCTGAAACAGTGAAAGTGATTCTAGGTAGAAAATTAACAAATATTGCAGTTAGTTTGTTTAGAATGTAGCCTATTAAATTCCCTTCTTGACAGAATCAATGTCATCCTAGCATTCCTTTTGAAGTTCTGCAATCCAATTAGCTTTTATTGTCAACATTTTGCGGTAATATGGATATACAGGAGGCATTATTTTCCTCTTTTCTGTAATGTTTGTTGTTGTCAGTCCATCGAGGTCAGGCCCTTGCATTCTTACAGAGTTCAGAGTGCATGGGTCTGACCATCTGAGGAACAGGTCAATAACAAGAAAAGACTGCTTGCAGCAATAATTATATACTTTTCTGCAGAAATTGCAAGGTGTTGTGCTTTTATTCAAAGAAAGTAGTTCTGACATATGATTCTGTGATTCATAGTCATTCGTTATCATGAAAAAGCTTTGCTGCAAGGAGGCAACATGTTCCTTAAAATTTAGGCAAAAGTTGCAAATTACCTCCCAAAATTGTTTGCATTGAAGCAAATCCCCACCCAAAACAAATGTTGATGCAATTTGCCATCTTAAATTTCCATTTTTAAGAAATTTGCTCAAATTTAACAATTATCATTAACTTTCTGTTAGAGTTCAAGAGCAATTGTTTAATGGAAATTGATAAATTTGGGCCGATTTCATGAAAATGGAAATTTCGGGTTGTAAATTGCGTCAACATCTTTTTTGGGTGGTGATTTACTTCAATGCAACAATTTTGGGGGGCAATTTGCACATTTGGCCCATTAATTGCCAGAATTGTTGCTCGAGATGCCTTTGTCACCTTCTTGAGTTGGAGAATTTGTTCTCTCTAGCTGATAATATTCATAGGCTATGGTAACAAGAAAAAGGAGTTATCTTATAAGAAGATAATGAAGTCTGAGAATTTCAAAAATAAAAAAAAAGAAAAGAAAAGAAAAGAGAGCTTAGATGAAATTCGAGGCCATGAACTCTATTCTGACAGATGTAAATGGCCAACATAAGCTTTGGCCACTTGCTTTTTGCACCCAGGTATTAGAACTTTATGATTCAGGATGATCACCCTGAGTAACCTATGTCTATTTTCCTTGGTAGCAGTTTCTATTGTTTTTTGCCTGTGTTAATTTAAATTTTGATATCAAATATCCATAGTTGATCAATGATGGCTCAAGTTATTTTTTGAAGGTAAGGGTGGATTTCCTGTCTGATAATGGTAAGATCCTTGCCAGTTCATGGCATCCCTGCATGTTAAAATTCAAAAGTGAGCCCATCCGCTATCTGCTGACCTTCCTCCAGGTTGCCCCTATACTTTCTGGCTACATATCAGAATCCCAGATTCTGAATCTCAAAATCAGAGGTTTGAAGGAAGGGGAGGTTCCTACTGCTTGCTTGAGGGTAGTGATTGAACAACGAGCAGAATACAGACCAGGCGCTGGTATTCCTGAAATATACAACGCATTTCTAATCCTTGATTCTGAACTTCCTTTTGTCAAAAGGATTTTATGGTATTGGAAGAAAACAATATTCGTATGGGTCAGCATCACAACGTTTATTATGGAGTTGCTGGTTGCTCTAATCTGTTGTAGGCCTATGCTCATTCCGAGAACAAGGTCAGCAGGAGGTTCAACACAAAATGACGCATTGCAGGGTTGATGTTGCTAATACAAGTAGATTCTTTTTTTATTTTTTTCTTTGGATCAGCTGAAGCAAGTAGATTCTCGCTAACCAAATGGATCACACTTGGTATGGAACCGAGTTTAATATTTTTTATTTTTTATTTTTTATTTTTTGTACTCATAAATGTATTTTAGTTGTAATTACTTGTACAATAATGCAAGCAAAGGTTCACATCCATACTATATTTGTGGGGATACCCGTGATGCTGTTCGCCTCTACTTTTCAGCATCTGATCAAGCTAGTTGAAGAACAGAAACCTCATACCTTAGATAATCCCTGTGATTGAATCTTCCATGGATGACATTTTTCTTGAATTTCTTCCTGCACATGATACTTGAATTATCTCCCTTTTACTTCTCTGGTTCACGTCATGTGGATGAAAAATACTTTTTGGATGGTTTGGATTAGGATGTTATACAAAACTTGACAAGAGTGTCATAATCTTCTGCTAGCTTTTGTATCGATGTCGGGTTTTTTTTTTTTTTTTTTTGATTTATTTAAATTTTGTCACAAATACCATAGTGAAAAGTGTTTATTAGCTGGACTTATAAAATAGTTAAGGAAAATAAATAGAAATTAGAAACTAAATGAGACCTCAATTTATGGTTCCATGAATCAAGCCATGACTGAACAAAAAGGAACAAAATGCTGGAAATGAGAAAGGGGAACTTCTTTCACTTTTATTAAAGGCAGATTCTTTTATTTATTAGAGAGGAGAAAAACATCAATAGAAGGTGGACTTGATTCCTATTTCTGTCAATGTCATATTGTTTCTTAAAAAATCCTCAAGTAGCGCCACATATGCAAAATTTAGATGCAGGTGTCTCACTTGCTTTGTTGAAAAGTTAAAAAAGAGAATTTTCTCAACATCCCTCTCCTCAGGATCGATCTCCTTTCGGATGGCTAAAAGAACAATGATTTAAAGTGAAATCTGCACCTTCAAACAATTTATAAGGGGAAGAGAAGTCTTCCTACAAAATGAGTTATTAAATTTACCTTAAACAACTTCAAAGACTTCAACACTATTGCGAATTTAAGTTAAAAAAACCTAAATGAATTAAATAACATGCAAATTAAAATAAACTTGCAAATAAAAGACACATCCAAGTTAAATTGAGTATGTTCACTATCGAATTAAACTATCATCTACAGATAGATCTGGAAATCAAAATATTGCAAAACTTGTGATTTAATCCTAAATAATCATGAATCTAATATGAAAAGTGATTAAACTAACATGCCAAAAATTAAGAAAAAGCATAAACGTCATATAAATAATCATTTAGAGAAATATTACTTATCATAAACATTAAACTAATACCAATTAGAAAAAGAATAGTACCTTACAAAAATTAAAAAGCTTAATGTTCATTACACGAAAGGAAACCATAGAAGCAACTACACAAACTAATTTGGTTATTTGATTGTTGAAAACAACCTAAATCTATTGGAATCTATGTTAAAAACTGAAATTTGTAAGCTAAAATGAGTAATCACTATGAAACTAGATAATTGAAAATTTGACAAGTTGTATGTAGAGCTGGTCATGTGTTGAATGATAAAAAAATTTCCTTTTGTTTGTCTCTTCCCTACTTGCAATTTCCCATTACCAATTGGTTACACGAACATAGGTGGTTTCTTGGAAAAGATGGACACCTTAGTAGTTGACTGAATTAGATTTTTACTCAAATTTCGTCATTTGTCCTTGTTATTTGCCAGTTCACAACTTTAACTGAAACAAACTCCTAAAAACCAATTGAAGCAATTCCACCTTGACTCAAATTGGCATCTAACGGATAAACCTTATCTTTTCAACCCTTTCCTTTCTTCTTCTTCTCTTCTTTTTATTTATTTATTTAATTATGTGGTATTTGACCTGTCAATGGCCCGAAAACAGCATATCTCATGTAACTTAATCTTTTCCAACCATTTAAAATAAATTGACATGTGATATAATTTTAAATTTTGCAATTTATGGTGTAGACACATACGATTGCATGAATGAATTCTCATAACAGGAAAGTGTAAATTTACGTACACATGTTTGTGACAGAAATTTAACACAACCCCCTAAATCCTTAACAAAAAGGACTAAACCCAGGGACGGAGCCAATGTAGGATGGGGGGGCCCCCCCCCCCCCCAGCTTTTGAAAATTTTCAAATATGGTATATTAATTTTTATTTTCTACAAAATTTTGTTTTTCCAGTTTTTGAATTATTAAAACCATTTCAAATATAAAGAAAAAATTTTGGACTTAGGTAAAGGAATCATTTCTCTCTTTGTGATTAATTTTTAAGATATGATAATTTGGTCTAAGTAAGAAAAAATATTTAAAATAGTTAAGATCTACTTAATTACATTGATGTAACTTATATAAGTTTTTACATTAGTTATATATAATAATTTTGTGCAATTTATATTCTATAAAAATAATGGTTGAATTTATTCTATTTATATAAATCATACATTTCAAATTTAAAATTGTTTTGATATAGGTAACCATTAAAAAAAACTATAAT